CCTATTGTATCTTCTTACTTGGCCTAAAAAACTATCATTCTGAGTAAATAAAAGAAATGATTGGTTTCACCAGAATTCCTTGTTCTAAATCCTCTCTGGGAAGAACTATTTTCAGTTTATTGAAGGGTGTCTAATGATGATGTTAGTTCTGCCTATCCATGAACATGGTATATTTTTCCATCTTCTAAGATCTTCTGCTACTTCTCTCTTTAGGGTTCTGTAGTTTTCATTGTATAAATCTCTCACCTCTTTTGTTAGGTTGATTCCCAAGTATTTTATTTTTTTTGAGGATATTGTGAATGGAGTGTTTTTCCTCATTTCCGTTTCAGAAGTTTTGTTGCTGATATACAGAAATGCCTTTGATTTATGAGTGTTGATTTTATATCCTGCCACTTTGCTGAATTCATTTATTAGTTCTAGTAGTTTTTTTTTGTAGACCCTTTTGGGTCTTTTAGGTATAGAATCATGTCTGCTGCAAATAGTGATAATTTAAGTTCTTCTTTTCCTATTTTTATGCCTTTAATTTCTTTCATCTAATTGCTCTGGCCAGTGTTTAGAGAACTATATTGAACAGAAGTGGTGATAGAGGGCATCCCTGTCTTGTTCCAGATTTTAGAGGGAATGCCTTCAATTTTTCTCCATTCAGAATGATGCTAGCCTGAGGCTTAGCATAGATAGCTTTTACAATGTTGAGGTAAGTTCCTGTTATCCCTAGTTTTTCTAGAGTTTTGAACATAAAGGGATGCTGTACTTTGTCGAATGCTTTTTCTGTGTCTATCGAGATGATTATATGTTTCTTATCTTTAAGTCTATTCATGTGGTGAATAACATTTATTGATTTCCGTATATTGAACCATCCTTGCATCCCAGGGATGAATCCTACTTGATCATGGTGCACAATTTTTTTGATGTATTTTTGTATCCAATTCGCCAGAATTTTATTGAGGAATTTTGCATCTAGGTTCATTAGAGATATTGGTCATAGTTTTCTTTCTTTGAGGTGTCTTTGTCTGGTTTCGGAATCAGGGTGATGTTGGCCTCATAGAATGAATCTGGAAGTTCTCCCTCTTTTTCTATTTCCTGAAATAACTTGAAAAGTATTGGTATTAATTCTTTTTTAAAGGTTTTGTAAAACTCCGCTGTATACCCATCCGGTCCTGGGCTTTTCTTGGTTGGTAGTCTTTTGATTGCTTCTTCTATTTCATCCATTGATATTAGTCTGTTCACATTGTGTGTATCCTCCTGACTCAGTCTGGGCAAATCATATGACTTAAGAAATTTATCGATGTCTTCACTATCTTCTATTTTATTGAAATATAGGTTTTCAAAATAATTCCTAATTATCTTCTGTATTTCTGTAGTATCTGTTGTGATGTTGCCTTTTTCATCCCGTATGTGAGTAATTTGAGTTCTTTCTCTTCTTCTCTTCATTAGCATGGCTAAGGGTCTGTCGATCTTATTTATTTTTTCGAAGAACCAACTTTTAGTTTTGTTAATTTTTTCAATAGTTTCTTTTGTTTCAATTTTGTTGATTTCCGCTCTGATTTTAATTATTTCTTGCCTTCTGCTACATTTGCTGTTGTTTTGCTCTTCCTTTTCTAGGGCTTTGAGATGAAGTGTGAGCTCATTTATTTGTTGGTTTTTTCTTTTTTTGAGGAATGACCTCCAGGCGATGAATTTCCCTCTTAAAACTGCTTTCATTGTGTCCCATAGATTCCGATATGTTGTGTCTGTATTTTCATTTATCTCTAAGAATTTTTTGATTTCCTCCTTATGTCTTCTGTAACTCATTGATCATTCAGCAACATATTGTTCATTTTCCACGTGATGTAGGATTTTTCCTTCCTTCTTTTATCATTGATTTCCAGTTTCATTCCATTATGATCAGATAAAATGCATGGTATTATCTCCACCCCTTTATATTTACTGAGGGTTGCCCTATGGCATAATATATGGTCTATTTTTGAGAAGGATCCATGTGCTGCTGAGAAAAAAGTATATCCACTTGATGATGGTTGATATATTCTATATATGTCAGTTAAGTCTAGATTATTGAGAGTGATATTGAGTTCTATAATTTCTTGATTCAACTTTTGTTTGGAGGATCTGTCCAATGGTGAGAGAGGTGTGTTGAAGTCACCCATAATTATTGTGTTGTGGTCTATTTGATTCTTGAACTTGAGGAGAATTTGTTTTATGAACGTCACAGCACCATTATTTGGTGCATAAATATTGATAATTGTTATGTCTTGTTGGTGAATGGTTCCTTTTAACAGTATATAATGTCCTTCCTTATCCCTTTTGATTAACTTAGTCTTGAAGTCGATTTTATTCGATCTGAGGATGGCCACCCCTGCTTGCTTATGAGGACCGTGTGCGTGGTATATTTTTTCCCAACCTTTCACCTTCAGCCTGTGTATGTCTTTTCCAATCAGACGTGTCTCCTGGAGGCAGCATATTGTTGGATTTGTTTTTTTTAATCCATGTTACCAGCCTATGTCGCTTTATTGGAGAGTTTAAGCCATTAACGTTTAGAGTTACTATTGATATATGGTTTGTACTTCCAGCCATGTCTGATTATTTATCTTTTTTTTTAAATTTAGTTTGTTTCTCCATGATTAGCTTTCCCCCCGCCCTCTGTTTTTACTGAGGCACTTCCCACTGATGGTTTTGGTTATTGTTTTTCATTTCTTCCTCATGTAGTGTTTTGCTCAAGATGCTTTGCAATGCTGGTTTTCTGGCTGCAAATTCTTTTAACTTTTGTTTATCATGAAAGATTTTTATTTCGTTGTCGTACCTGAAGCTTAATTTTGCTGGATACACAATTCTTGGTTGGCATCCATTGTCTTTCAGTGTTTGAACTACGTTGTTCCAGGATCTTCTCCCTTTCAGCGTCTGTGATGAAAAATCCGTTGTTAACCTTATTGGTTTACCCATGAATGTAATCTGCCTCCTTTCTCTTGTAGCTTTTAATATTTTCTCTTTGTTCTGTATATTGGATATCTTCATAACAATGTGTCTTGACATTGGTCTACTGTGATTTTGTATGCTCGGTGTCCTGTATGCATCTACAATTTGTATATCCGTTTCCTTTTTTATTTCTGGAAAGTTTTCTGTAATTATTTCATTCAGCAGTTTACTCATTCCCTTGGTTTGAATCTCTATACCTTCCTCTATCCCGATGACTCTTAAGTTTGTTTTTTTTATGTTATCCCATATCTCTTGGATGTTTTTCTCGTGATTTTTTACCAGCCTTTCTGAGTTGGCTAGACTCTTTTCAAGATGATATATTTTGTCTTCATTATCTGACGTTCTGGCTTCTACTTGCTCCACTCTGTTAGTGATACTCTCAATTGAGTTTTTAATTTGGTTTATATTTTCCTTCATTTCTAGAATTATTGTTTGATTTTTTTAATAATCTCTATATCCTGATAAAGATGCTTAACTTCTTCTTTTATCTGTTTATGTAATCCAGTTTCAATGTGTTCTTTCACTGTTTGAATTTGCTGTCTCATATCCTCTTTAAGGTTCCATTCCATCTGTCTAAGGTATTCCTTGAGTTCTTTATATGACCATTTTTCTGATGACTCTAGGTCCTCCTGAATATTTAGGCTGTCCTGCATTGTTTGTACTCCTTTTCTTCCTTGCTTTTTCATGCTGCTCATGTTACTTCTTGTTCTGTTTGACTGCTGAGTTACTGTCTACTCCTATAAATTTATTTGATGCTTGGGAGGAAAAGTATTAGCACGGAAGGGAAGAAGTCACTGTCGCCGCTGGTTTCAATGAAGTTATCTCCTCCACCGCATTCTGCTGACGTCAGTTCTCTGCCATGGTGGTATCCCATGCAAATGGCGACAGTTCGTTTCCCTTTGCCAGGTGACCAATGCAACGGGTGGGTCCTGACTGGCTCTCCCAAGCCCTGTTTCAATCCTGTGGCCACTGCCTATGAAGGCTTGGTTGGCATTTACCTCCGTAGGTGCAGAAGGGCCGACCAGTTGTTTCAGCGGGATTGTTTAGTGCTGAGTCACAGCAGTTTGTCTGCGAGAAGCAGGTGAACGGGAGCTTGATTTCAGCCAATCCGGGCTCGGTGTGTGTTCTGAGAGGCCCAGACTGTTCGCCCCAGATCCAAGTCAGCTCAGCATTGCCTAGTGATCCTGAGCAAACAGCATTTAGACTGTTTATGACTCCCTATGCCCGCGCAGCTGAAGAGGTCAGAGACTTGATCTCTCCGCGTCCGCCGCCATGTTGGATCTCCAGTGTCCTGTCTTAAAAGTCTGATGTGTACTGCTTGATGTCATATTATTTTGGATTTGACTTTGTCTCACAGAGATTCTGTGGCATAAATCAGCTGTGCAAAATAAATGTTAATTCAAAGAATTTATAAACAGTACTTATCTACTCTGCTAAATAGTAACATGACACCATGTAAGTTTGTGGGATAAATAAGGTGATGTTGTAAAAAAGGTAAAATGAAGATGTAGACAGTATCACTGCCCCCCCATGAACAATTTCTTATACAAACATCTTTTCTCTGAAGAATGTTACTATATACTTTGGAATAATGAGTGAAATATCTTTTAAAGTAGGTCCTTACATTTCCTGTGATTCTAGGTTTACTTATTTCTAGGTTGATTAACTCTTTTCCTCAAAATACAAGGAGTAGTTACACTTCATAAGTAACAGATATATGAGCCTTAAAAGTGATGGCATTGAGTGTAATCCTCACAATTTTTCATGATACTGATTGTTCTAAAATTATTGAGTACAACATTGAGCCCTAACTTTCCTTAGTAAATCTAAATCTTAGCCTCTGAACATTATTATAAAATAAATATGAAAATCATGGACCCCTGTCAATCATCATCACCATTAACAAGAGCCTCAATTCCAGTCTCAAATAAACAGTTATATTGAGCACTGACAGACAGGGCTTAGTTGATCCCACCTCCTAACTGAAACTCCCCGCACCAAAGTTACCCTTGGATACCTGAAATCAGCTTCAAGGCATTCTCCAGGTACTCATCTTCTGTGATGGGGTGTCCATCCAACTTCAGTTCCAGTGTGAAATCTCGAAGAGTCCAAAGAAAGTCTGGAAAGAAACTTACAAACTCAGAGAAGTCCTCTACTTCATCTGGTGTGGGGTCAGATTTTGCCCTGATTAGTTGTGTTAGTTCAGTCACATAGCTGGGATCTTAGCTAAGGAATGAGAAACAATTTCCAGATCACTTAGCAACAAGTTTTATGAACATTCCTTTTTTTTCCCCCAGGGTCCACTCTTACTCAACCAAGACAATCAAGTTAGAAGATAGAAGGAACAGTCTCAGTTGCTATTCTCTTAACCTCCCTCGATAAAACATGATTGTTTGGTTCTTGGAAAGGTACTGTAGCTGCTCCAGGGCTTGGTGGTCAATAGTGCCCATGCTCTTGTAGACAAAGGTGCTGCTAAGAAGCACTGCCAGGACAAAGATCCAGGAGTCATTCTTAGGGTCACCCCAGGAAGCACACGAGAGAAGAACTTAGAAGTCTACTCTTCATTTATTTGTTCATTTAAAGTTATTCATTCTTTCTTTTAGCTGTACTCTTTCTGAACATAGGTGAAATAACAGAATTTTAAGATAATGCTAAATTTATATTCCATTATTGATATTTATATTTGTCTCTCTCAGAATATTAGTTTATGTAGCTATGAAGACAAATGAAAGTCATTCTCAGTGTGCATAAAATAGTTAATAAAATACCTAAGACATAGTAGGTATCTCATAATAACTGGGCAATAACTCATGACAAATTTCATCTTCATCATGGCTACAGTAAGGATATAATCACATTTCAATTAAGTTGAACAACACTCTTTTTGACATCTGACAAAATGCCACACCCTGCATTTGGTTTTGTAGATACAAAGTTCTGAGAGTCTCTGCTCACAGGAATATCACTTTATAGAGGCGCAGACACATAATACATATAAACAGAGAACAAATGATAATCTGTGAGGAGAGGGAACCAAAATTATTTTAAAGAAAGAAGGGGGGCCAGGGAGAAAGAAAGAAAGGAAGGAAAGAAGGAAGGAAGAAGAAATAAAAGAAACAGTGGGGTGGGGACGTCCATGAATGTGAATAATTGCTCTGAGAATTCAGAACAAGAAGTCATTAGCTGAGTTTTGAAGAGCTTATAGAATATGGAATTGTGGAATTTGCAGGGGTCAAGCAAGTGGAAGGATCAGCAGCACCAAGCCTCAGTTGTTAGAGCACAGGGTTCTTTTATTTCACTGAAGCAGTGAGTGTGCAGGCCAGAGTGAAAACAGAGACCTAAATGATATTAATGGCAAGACTTAAAAGGTTTTAAAATAGATCCAGATGCTACTCAAATCCCGTTACCAGTTGTATAGTAGTTCTGCTGCCATTGGCTTATGTTCTGTTGTTTTGTTGTGGGAATTCTGTGTTTGGGATTGGGGTCTACAAACTTTGTGATGGTGGCATGCTGGTGACTAGGAAGTTCCTGTGCAAAGACACAGAATGCCTGGCTGCTAGGAGATACCTAGCTACTGGGAAACTCCTGTGCAAAAGCACAGGATGCCTGGCTGACAAAGCATTGTCCTTCACAAGTTTACCCTGCTTCCCAGACCTGGGATGCCCAGCCTCCTCCCTCTGAGGTAATAAGACAACTATGTAGGCATTATCTGGTCTCCATAGAGAATAGGGGCCCCCTGTTTATTCTAACCTGGACCTTATCTAGCACTCAGGGTTAAAGAAATTCTAATTAGAATATAGTCATGGTAATGGGAGGTATGTGTTCTTTGAGTTAATAAACCCCCAGGCAGGGAGGAGAGGACACTTCTGCACTTCTTCTTCACCACTTCACTTCACTCTGCTCCATCCTGTCTGGTCACTTGTACCCTTTGTGTCTGTGTCTGTTCTTTGTGCGTCTCCTCACAGGTATTACTCCACAGGTGATCCTTTACATTTTGTCTCTTGACAATTGTAATCAGATATAACATATTACAAGTCAATAGTCCATACTGGTATTCTACTGAGAGGACAACTGAGAACGCAAAACTGAATTTTTAAATTCAGAATTTCTAAGTCTATGCTTTCCTTCCTTGCCCCGCCCCCTACCAAATGTGTAGTACTGAAGCCAAAGATCTACTGCTGCTAGTTTCAATAGATTCAGACTAATATAAATTAGGTGAAAAGACTGATTTCAACTAATTGTGTAAAGATAAAACACCTAAAATTTTGCCATTTGCTGTAATTATATTGGATCTAGCTCATGCTTTTAGACAGTGAAAATTTCATGTCCAGAGCTCAGAGACCCGGACTAAAATCTTAATAATGAAGCTGAAATTCTTCTGAAGATTATTTAAATGGATTCCTTTGATAAAAGCCTATTTTCATGGCCTCTACTTTTAATGTTACCAAACCCACTGACCCCACAGATTAGAGCTTTCTTCAGGAAGTTTTCCCTAACTCTAATGGCTGGATCAGTTTCCCACTTTTTGCATCTTTTCCTTGTAGTGATCTCATTCTATATTTCTTGTCTCTAAAAGGTGATTCTAGGTCTTTATCTTATTGACTGATAGATTTGTAGCACTTAGCACGGAGCCTTGGACTTCAGTTGTTTGATGTGTATTTATTAAATTAAATTTCACATCTCAGTTTTAAAAATAAGAAGATCTGTCCTAATTTACCAATGTTATTTTTTGCATGTGAGGGAGGGGCAGGGAGAAAGGAAGGAAGGAAGGAAGGAAGGAAGGAAGGAAGGAAGGAAGGAAGGAAGGAAGGAAGGAAGAAAGGAAGGAAGGAAGAAGCTTATGTGTGAAACAATGCAAAAAGGTTCAGAGGAGAAATGACTGGATTATGAAAGCCTTAACCCAATCAGTGAATCAATGCCCTGAGAGGATTAACTGAGAGGTAACTGAAGGTGGGGAAGGTGTGCCTGGAGGATGTGAGTCCCTGAGGGCATACCTTTGAGGTACATATTTTGTATCTGATAGTGGAGTCTTTTTCTCTTCCTTGATCAACACGTGAGTCATTTCCCTCCACCACACTTTTCCACCATAATTTGCAGCCTTACTTTGATCCCCAAAGGGAGCCAGCTATCTATGGACCAAGTCCTCTGAAATCATGAACCCCCCAAATAAACTGTCCTTCCTAAAATTGTTCTTATCAGGTTATTTGACAGTAAAAAACAAATGACTCAAGCAACCAAAGTATTTTAGGTAGCTAGAGAAGTTTGAGGAAATGGAATTTAGTAGCCTCATTATTCATAATTGGATTGCAAGTACAAGAATATATCTCAGATGTCAGACTGAGGTGACCAATTGAATGGCACATGAATAGAGTACAGCACATTCTCTGCCTCACCTTTTCCACATCTCCCAGGCCCTCAGTGTCCAGGAGGACCAGGGTGTGGTTTGGCTTGCTGGGGTGGGGCACACACCACATCCAGATGCCCTTGGTTTCAGCCCTCACTGTGGAACCCAGAGGGAAGCCTGTGAGGGAAGAGGAGAAGATAACATGGAGTGAAACTGAGAGGTAAAGCTGCCAGGGGTTACAGGGGTTAAATCTGTAGGAATGTACAGTGTTGAGCAAGTTAGTGTTTGCTACTATTTCACAAGGATAAATCAATTCAAGTGTTGTTTATCTTTCTCAAAAACACTCTGTGACCCCAATTCGCCTCAGTCTTTCGAGTGCTAAAATTCTTTCACATTACAGAATTAGTGTAAAATCTATCAACCAGCATTTTCCTACGTATTTTTATCTGACCAGGAAAAGCTCCAGTGTCCTCTGGCTTCAAGTTGAGTTCAACTAGTTGTTGAACAAGGGAAGTTTTTGTACATGTGCACCAAGATATAAATTTGAGAATATGAGAATATTTATAACTACCTTATTCATTAAAGATAAAACCTGGAAATAATACCACTGCTCATCAACAACAAATGGATAAATAAATTGTGGCATCCCCAGGCATAAGCATACTACAGTGTAAATTCATTTGAAAACAAATGAATTACAGATATGTGTGTTAAACAGAGGATGCACATAAACTTCTTCTTGAGCAAAAGAAGAAAGACACACAAGAATACACATACCACAGTCTGTTTTATATAAAAGTCAAAAGAAGACCAAACTAAGTTATTCTGTAGTATGTATAATAAACCACAGAATCATTATTTAGAAGCAAGAGTAGAGTGTCCCCAAAAACCAAAATGTTAATGAGTTTTGATGACTGTGTGAGGATGATTTGGCTTTTGAATGTTGGTAAGGTTTTGTTTCCTGATCTGGATAGTGATTACATAATTATTCACTTTATATTTATTAACTATGTTGTATACTTATGCTTTTTACTCTGTTATAGTTTGCATATTACAAAAGACTAAGTAAAGAAACTGGCATGCTAATTTATCAAAGATTTGCTATCAATAGAGAAAAAATGGACTGGTAGCTCAATTTGGACATTGGATATAGAGAGATCTTACTATGCATCCTTCTGCCCATCCATTTTTTTAAAGGACAAACTTAACTATATTTGCATGCTACGTCAAATGGTCATATTGCTTGGACAAAAGGATTCAGATGAGGGGAAAGGGAATGATTGCTAGAGCCCCAGAGAAGGTGAGAGTGGATAGCCTCAGGAAGAACAGCGAAGCAGATATTTTGATAAGGTTGGAGAGCTCTTTATTAATGGACAAAGAATGAGATAATTTTGGATAGGTGAGAGGTTATAAATATGCTGGTAACAATTATAAATTTTCCTTAGTGGAAGAATTGATTAGCCTCTTCCTTTATATGACCCTAGAGAAAGTGAGATCAACTTGTCCTATTTGTGGTTCCAAGCAACTGCCCTTGCCCCAGGACCACACTCACCATGATTCTGTCCTGAAAGATGATTCATGAGGTAGGATTTCCCCGTACGATATGTCCCTACAGTGGACACCACCACCACAGGTTGACATATCTTGTCAAGAATTCTCAAGTCTTCTGAATTCATTGTCAGCTGCTCATTCCTGTTTTCCACTAAACAAATGGGGGGCTTCATAGTAGATTCAAATGCCATGGTCACCTGTAACTCTGAAAAGCCACTCAGTGAATCCCAGGATCTTGAAGTCATCTCTGATGGCTATTTGAGGAACTTACATGTCAATTCTCTGCTTGTGGAATGTTTACATTAACTTTCTACATTTTGTATGTTTTTTAAAAGGAAAAACATTATCTAGAATGTTAAGTCCTAGTATAGATGACTTATGTACATTATCTTGTATTTCCTCTAAAGACTCAAAAAGTGTTGCCTGCCAAGAGAACAAAATACAAGGGATAAAAATCAAGAAGGGATAAGTCGAATTATCACTGTTTGTAGACAATATGACCCTATACTTAGAAGATCCAAACACTCCATCAAAAGACTGCTAGAGCTAATAAATATTTGGCAAGGTACAAAATCTGTACATACAAAAATCAATATATTTCCTATATACAACAATAAATCTGCTGACAAAGAAATCAGGAAAACAATTCCATTCATAATAACCTAAAAAAAGAAGAAAAAGAAAACAAAACCTACTTTGGAATAAATCTAACCAAGGAGGTGAAAGACCTCTGCACTGAAAACTATAGAACATTGAAGAAAGAAATTGAAGAAGACCTCAGAAGATGAAAAGAACTCCCATGTTCATGAATCAGTGACATTTAAAATATTAATTATAATAATATAATTTTATATTAATTATGATAATATAATTTTTATATTAATTATAATAATCATAATTAATTAATTATATTAATATTGTGAAAATGGCCATATTACCCAAAGTAATATATACATTAAATGCAATCCCCATCAAAATACCAAAGACATTCTACACAGAACTAGGGAAAAAAGAGTCCTAAAATTAATTAAAAAGAATAAAAGAGCCAGAATAGCAGAATAGTCAAAACATTTGTAAGCAAATGAAAAGAAAAAAAGCAATTCTGGAGGCATCATAATACCTGACTTAAAATTATATGACAGAGCTATAGTAAAAAAAACTGCATGTTACAAGCATAAAAGCAGCTACATAGAACAATGGTACAGATTAGAAGACACAGAAACAAACACATACTAATACAGTCATCTGTGCCTTGACAAAGTTGCCAAAAACACACCTTGGAAAAAAGAAAGTCTTGTTAACAAACAGTGCTTGGAGAACTGATTACTCATAGGAAGATTGAAACTATACCCTTACCTCTCACCTTTCACAAAAATTGACTAAGAATGCATCAAAGACCTAAGAATAAGACTAAAACCTATGTAACTCCTAGAAGAAACACAGGGTCAACACTTCAGCATATAGACACAAACAATGACGTTCTCAATAGGGCCCCTAAAGCTCAGGAAATAAGGTGAAGTGTTAATTAATGGGATGACATAAAATGTAAAAGAGCTTTTGCCCATAAAAAAAAAACAAGAATGTGAAGAAAAAGGCCTAAAAAATGGGGAAAAAAATCTCTGCTAGCTAAACTTCCAACGGAAGATTAATATCCAAAATATATAAATTAAGAAACAAGCAAATAAATGGACAAATAAACCAAACAGACACTTCTAAAAAGAAGAAATACAAATGGCCAACAAATACACAAAAACATGGTCAACATGGTTTTCAGTTAGGGAAATACAAATCAAAGCTACACTGAGATTTCATCTCATACCACTCAGAATGGCAGTCATCAAGAACACAAATGCTAATAAATACTGGAGAGGGTGTGGAGAGGAAAGAACACTTTTACACAGTTGGTGGGACAGTAAATAAGTACAACCTCTGTGGAAATCAGTATCAAGTTTCCTCAAAAGACTAGACATGGAATCACTATATGAGCCAACTATACCACTTCCCAGTATTCACCCTGAAGAATTAAAGTCAACATGCTATAGTGATACACCTATAACCATGTTTATAGCAGCACAATTCACAATAGCCAAACTATGGAACTAGCCTGGGTAACCATCAACAAATGAACGAATAAAGAGAATGTGGTATATGTGCACACTGTAGCTATATTCAGCCATAATCTTGCAGGAAAATGAATAGAACATGAGACCATATGTTAAGCAAAATAAGTCAAACTCAGGAGGTCAAGAAGAGTGCTGGGGAGTTAAATTGACCAAATTATATTATTATATTGTGTGCATGTACAATTATGTGAAAACAAATCCCATCATTATTGACAACTATAATGCACCAATAAAAAACAATGTGGAGAGAGAGGAAGAACATATTGCCTGAGATTTTTGAGAAGAGATTGAGGAAAGCAAAACACTGATAACAGAGCCCTGAGAATATCAACATTTTGGGGTAAAAGGAGGAAGAATAAAAACTAGTAAGAGATGAGCAATGTTTAGAACTATGATTAGGCATTACAAAAGAATTTCTTCTCATTAAGTCAAATAATATTTTTTGAATCCTTGCCACGTTTTGGATACTGCTCAAGAGATCCATTATCAAAGAGTGTACTAAATGAATGTTAATTCCTGTCTCAAGGATCTCTATTCTAGTGGAGAAACAGATAATAAACAAAACAAAATCAACTGTGATCTGATAATGACAAGTTCTCAGAAAAACCTAAGCAGGGAATAAGGTAAGGCCTCCATGAAAATGAGAGAAAATGCAGGTTCTCATGGACTGTGTTGAGGGCAGGTATAGGAATAAGTCAAGAGACCACTGAGGACAGGAGTATAGGGAGCACACTTCCCCTCCCTGCTGCCTCTGTAGAGAAGAGAACCTCTAAGCTGGGGGTGGGGGCACAGAACCTTTTGTGACAAATTCCATGTGACCACTCCCAGTGGCTGTGCATGGTTTTCCTTCACTCTCCAGTGCAATCCCTGAGTGGAGTTTGCATTGGGGAATTCACTGATGTTTTTAGTTGACAAATTCATGGAGAGCCAGTTCCACAGCTCACTCACCTGGCAAGGGCTCAGCACTCAGAGGACAGGTTCTCAGTTGCTTGTGCACCTGGCTCCTCCAAAAACCTACCGTTTTTCTTAGAAGCTGAAAACAAACAGGATATTACAGCTACCCCACCCCCCCAAAAAAAAAATGTGAAGATGAATAGAACTGAAATCGAAACTTCACTCAGTTCTTCCTGGATGAACCATTGAGGTTTCACAGTTTCTGAAGAAGCAGTAAACAGTTTGTGAGATGAGGTGCGGGGTTGTGGGGAAGTTCACATGGCCTAGGAACAGAATCTGAAGTTGCTCTGTCATTTCTCACAGGTCAGCACACATTTCCCCTGCCCAAGAAGCTACCGTTAAATCAGGTGTTGATACAATACCACATTGTGATGGGTTGACTGACGGCATCCCTGAGCATACCATGACACTCGTGGGCAATCTGAGTTCCCTAGGAAATGGGTTCACTGACTTGCACAGAGCCTGATGACAAAGCCCCTTATCTTTCTGCAGACAGTAAGAAGTCCTTGGAGGGTGTAACCTGATGCCCATTGAGGGTACGGACAATGTGCACTGTCTCCAGGTCATCCCCAGAAGCTCCCCTTTACACACTTGCACCATTTTTAAGTGGAAGAACTTTTAAATTTGTGACTCGATAACAGATTTCATTGTTAGAAAATGCTCACTCCAAGCCCTCCCCAGTACCACTGAAAAGGGAAATAAATTGTTTTGGAACCACAGATCTTTCTTTTCATTTTTTGAGGCCAAAGATTTCACAAAATTGAAATTGACACTTTGGTATAGAGATGAACAGAGAGGGTTTGTTCATAGCTTCCATGTGATAGGAGAAAACAGGATCCACACAAGACCTCAGCATCTATGTGTCTGTCCCTGGTGCTTTCCAAGGACTAACACCAGAGCAGAATAAGGGGATTTTTATCCAGTGCTGCTGAATCCCTAAACCTCTGGGATCTGGACAGCTGCCTACAACAGGAATGCCCCTCCTCTTGCCTTCCTCCCTCTACTTCCTTTCAGAGGTCTGTGGTGAAGCAGTCACCTCCCAGATGGAGCAGCAGAGGGCAGCACTTCCACAGCTAGCACCAGGGTGTGTCCCTGCAACAGCAAGTGGCTCCCATGGCTGCCAGCTGAACTCCATGCGCTCTCTCTCTCTCTCTCTCTCTCTCTCTCTCTCTCTCTCTCTCTCTCTCTCTCTCTCTCTCTCTTTCCTGTTTTCAGTAGGCTTTGAGGGAAAGAGAAGTGCACTGGTGGCCTGACATGATCCTGCTTTGATTAGGGAATGAAGATGACTCCTCCAGGCCAGTCTATTTTTCCCCCTTTTCTATTTTTTTTTAGTGTTCCCTTTCTTTAAAACACTCATCTGCTGTCAGCTGCCCATTCTGTTCCTGTAGCCTAAGCTGTCATCATCACAATGGTGAGAATTTGTAGACAAAGCAATAATTTCTAGGGCAGCCAGCTGTTGAAGGAGAGCCTGGAAATCTTAAGGAATAAGACTTCTTTTCTTCCAAAGGTAATGAGCTGCTCTCAGTTAGTCCTTGTGCCCCTTCACCAAGTAATTAGTGTGATATACACAATGTTGAATGTCATTAGAATGAGAATGTTTTTATTGGAGTGCTCTGTTTAAATATTATGTATTCTCAATGATCCCATTATCATCTACCTCAATCTTATTTGATAGGTAGCCTGATGGCAAATCAAGTATAGTTAGCCCTTTGACCCCTGATCTTAGTCTTCTACTACTTTAGAGACCATCCTAAATAAGACCAGCGAAACAAGGGTGAGTACCTGGGTCTTCAAGATGTCATTTTGCAACTGACATAAGCAAGGTTCCACAGAGATTAGTCACTTAGTAGAATCCTTGATGAGCCATATTTTTATCAGCTTTTTTGCTGCTGTAAGTAAAATTGACCAGAACAATTTTAGAGGAGGAAGAATTTTTTTGAGGGCTCATAGTTTCAGAGGTCTTATTCCTTAGAAGGCGACTCCATTTCTTGGGACTCCAGGTGAGGCTGAACATCATGGTGGGAGAGTATGGCAGAGGGAAGTAGCTCACATCATGGTGATCAGGAAGCAGAGAGAGTGTCCATTCACCAGATACAGATGTATACCCCAAAGGCATACCCCCAATTCCCACCTCCTCCAGCCACACCTTACCACTTCAGTTCCCATTCAGTTAATCCCTATCAGGGGATTAAATCACTAATTGGTTTAAGGCTCTTACAACCCCCAAATTTCTCCTCTAAACCTTCTTGTACTGTCTTACCTGTGAGCTGTTCGGGGACACCTTGCATCCAAACCATAACAAGCCACAACAGGTAATGATTAGTTATTGGCTGCATTCACATATCATCAAGCCATTGCTGATCAGGCCAAATTCTATGTGTAATAGATTTGAATATTGAGTTTTCTCTTTGATCTCATAGAATGATTATATTTTCACACTGGAATAATTGAATTGACTATCTATCTTACTTTGCCAATGAAATGTGAGTGCAAA